GGAAGGATGGAAGCCTGAGTCAACCTTGAGCCTGGTGAGATTTGAACTGCCAAACTGCAGCTAGCAGTCAGCTGAAATAGCCTGCAGTACTGCACTCTAACCACTGTACCGCCTCAGCTCTATATGGCTAGGTGTAAGATTTGGTCCTTTGGGAAGTGAGAAATTGAGGTTTTCCCTTTTTTAATCTGCAGTTCCCAAATGCTTATTCCCTAAACTAACTCACTGATATTTTGGCAACTATGGTTGATGGGGTCCTTTAAGGGTTTTAATTTCGCCAAACCCACCAGATAAAGTCAGAAGTAAAACAGAATGGTTAACATAATGCTTAGAAATGAATCTTGTTCTTTTTTTAAGATAAGTGTGTTATATTAAGTTCTTGCAGGCTTTGGTCCCTATGTGTTTGTTCAAATCAATGGGTGTAATGGAATATTCTGAAAAGGCAATGGGATATGTCTCTGTGAGTTCTCTTTCAGCAAGCATATCTCACTATTTTATTCTATGTACAAGATCACCTTCAAATACAAAGGAAATAAAAATACCCTGGAAAGAAAAGATTTTTTTTTTAACTTCTCTGAGATTCTTCTTATAGAAACTTTTTGCAGACATGTTTTTTTTTTAACTTGAATGTTGAGGACCAAATCTTGGATCTTCCAGTATAAAAAGTGCTGTGGGTTGCTGTGCATTTTTTTTTTAAGAAAAGAATCTTGCATTTTCTATTATACAACATTTTTCTACTCTTCTAGTTTTGCTACAATAGAAACAGGAGTAAAGGTCAAAAATTCAAGTATAAATTATCCTAAAACATTTTTTTTCCATCAGCTAGGACAAGTATACTCTCAACTCTTTATTAAAAACAAGATAAGGCTTAGTACTGTAAAGCCAGCTCTAAGTAATTATTATGTATCCATATAAAATGTGACAATTTTAAAATCTGATTTCATACTATAGGTAGTCTTCGACTTACAACCACAATTAAGCCCAAAGTTTCCTTTGCTAAGCAAGGCAGTTGTTAAGTGAGTCATGTCCATTTCACAATCCTTTTTGCTATGCTTGTTACTTGAATCATTACAGTCTTTAAGTCAGGGGTGTCAAATTGGCGGCCTGCTAACTGGATGCATCATGCGCAGGCCACGCCCACCCCAGCTCCGCGAATGGGAAAAACATTGCGAAACATCACGCGATGGCAACATGATGTCATGGCAAGTTTGTCACCCGTGCTTTAAGTGAATCGTGTGGTTATTAATCTTTGGATCTGGCTTCCCCCGTTGACTTTGCTTGTCACAAGCTTCTTAGTTAGGCTTGCAAATGACACTCACAAGGCCCTGAGATGCTGCAGCCACTGTAAATACATTCTGGTTGCCAAGCAACTGACATCTGATCATGTGACTGGGGGAACTGACATCTGATCATGTGACTGTAAGAACTGTTCATAAGTCACTTTTTTCAGTGGCGTAACTCTGAACAGTCATTAAACAAATGGTTTTAAGTTGAGGACTACCTGCATATTTTTAGTCATTTTAGGGAAGTTTTCTATTCAGAAAACTTTGAATTAGATTTAGGGTTCAGTTGGGAGGTTTCCCCCATTCTTTAGTCCATTCTCATCAGTCTTCAAAGGAGCTGTTTCATTAAAATCTTGTTTTTTTTCCACCGCTTTTCCTTCATCCTTTTCTGTCCTTGCATCCTCATAATCTTTCTTTTCTCCATCTTCCTTCATCCTTTTCTTCTCTTCTTTTTCAAGCATTCTGTAGTTGTAGTAATTCATAATGAAGAGGAATGTCCCAGCCAAGACCATCACTGCCCCGCATTTAATGAACATGTATTTGTAGTCTCCAAAGGTGTCAATAAGAGTACCTGTGAATGGAGAAATGACATCCTAATTATTAATGAAACTTATAGATCAAAATAGAACAAAGCTACACAGATTCCAGGCAAATTTTGAATCTAGATTGCTAAAATGGTTAGAGAAAATGGTATCTACTCAATGCCACAGTTAAGGATGGGCTTTTCTTAAAATAAGAAATATCAGCAAATCCTCAGCTAATTTTGAATCAATATCTTGCCACCTTTTTCGCTTGGGGTACATGCATTTCATCCTCCAAATTAATGTGCAATCATGGTTTTCTTTGACCATTTTCTTGTCCTTGAGATACTGTGCATTTAATAACCACTATGGCAACCATTTATTGAAAGCATAGTACTTAATTATTCTAATGTCTAATCAAACAAACCACACATTTTGTAACAAGGATGAGATGTTTCCAGCTTGGGTGGATAAAAATACTGCACCAAGGAGCAACATAGCCCACGTTTATGCTTTAATATAATGGCATTAGCAAAAACATCAAGCAGAGGCTAATTGCAGCTATTCTCAATTTCTGCTAATCAGGATGACCTTAAGATCTGCAAAATACATTTCAATGAGAGTTTTAATGAGAAGAGTACTGGAAAATTCAACAGTAGAAGAGTCTTTCCACCTCCTCCTTTGAGAATAAGAGAAAGTCATAAAACACACCAGGAAAAATTACTTAGTCCATTAAAGCAAAACCCAGTAGTAAGTTGTTAAATGCCAAAGAACCAATCAATTTGCCACTTATTAAATAGGGAGCAACATACTGAACTCATATCGCAAACTGTTATAAAGCACTTTCTAGCCTCATTAACAGTCTTCAACAATTAAACCTAATCTGCTTCTTAAAACTGCATACTGAAGAAAACATGTATGCTGACCTCTGTAAGACAGGAAGAAGCGAAGTCCTCACATTTAAAAAAGGATAATTGAATAATAAATATTTTTTGCAAAGCCATTGAAATCTTAGATTCCTTTTAACTTTTTTTAACAATTAATGGTCATCTGGCGTAAGTTGAAGTATCATCATCCACTGAACACCTACATTTCAACAATTCTCTCATTTACACCATATGCATTTAAGGGTACAGCTTTTTGTCCAAAGCCATTTCAGTTCCACTACAGTCAACAGGGTTAAATTAAATTAAATCCTGTGGAGCAATTATTTTCTTAACAGCAAACGGCAATAACTTAATATAGATTGCAGTAATTTTGAACCTGCCACACATAGTCCTTAGCTTCCTTGATTCACTGTTACTGTTCTTCTAGAATAGAAACAAAGATACACCCTACAGTATATCTATTAGGATTTAAAGGATTTAAAATCTAGCTAAATCATCCTAAAATAAATCAAAAGGAAATGGGCACATAAAAGCTGTTACTCTCTTGCTGGCAGTTTTCAGATAGGGATATGGCTTTCAGGGATGGTTTAATGGATTCCTGCAATGACCAGAGAATCAGATAAGCTGATCTGTAACTCAAACAGTCTATGATTCTAAAGTGATGCAGTTACCAGCAGTGATCTCCAAGAATTTATTAAGAAAATTAAAATTTACCTTTTACCCGGCTGCTTCCATTTCACCTTATAGCAATAGCAGTTAGACTTATATACTGCTTCATAGGGCTTTCAGCCCTCTCTAAGCGGTTTACAGAGTCAGCATATCGCAAATGGTATTGACTGATGACGCAAAGTAGAATCATATGATACATATAGCAATTGCAATAGCACTTAGACTTGTATACCGCTTCACAGTGCTTTACAGCCCTCTCTAAGCGGTTTACAGAGTCAGCATATCGCAAATGGTATTGACTGATGACGCAAAGTA